GATTTCATAATCTTGTCTCATTGGAAAGTCCAGAACAATGAATCAAATATTAAATTAAATGCCACATGGTAATTAGTTAGGTACCGTGGGCACAGACCTAAGATTTGTCTGATTTTCTATCTCTCTTTTCTTTAGGTAATCAGGACTGAAGCACATGTTTTATGAAGGCTATAAAACATGTGAACATTTCATTTAACTATTTTTTTAAGGACTATATGACATTCGAATTTTATGTGTTTAAACTGAATTCATATATCATGCAGTGTAAGTAAAATTGCACACCAAGTTACAAATGGGGTTCTTTGTAAACATCTTTGCTAATAAAAACATTTCCATTTTGTAGATAATACCACAGATAGGCCCAAGAAAATAAATCATGAATTTATAAAGAGCAGTTGCTTTAAAAAAGCAAGCTAAGCAATTTTCAATCTCCACTGGAACCCAGCGATCCTTGTTTTCACAGCTGAATATTCAAAGAGTTGTTTACCATAATTGGAAGATACTTGACAGCTTAAGTAGCCCACACTTAGCAGGCTTCAAAATAGGTCCTAAATTATTTGTTGCAAGCCTTTTAGATAAACAAGCGAGAGTGCCACTCAATTGTCCTAAAAAGCCAAAATTACAGGCATATCTGGGTTATCCCTAGTGATTTCTGAATGTGATAAAATTCTGATTTTCATTAGTATTAATTCTTTTCCTGAGCCTCACATGCACTACCCCTCCAGCTTCATAACCTTTCATGAGAACAATTCTAACTGTAGAAAGAAAACTTAAAACCCCCAAAGATTTGGGGATCCCACTGGTGACTCTGTTGGCCACAGTCTGGGCTCACAGGTGAGGCTGCCCTCCTAGTTGACCCAGTTCTGTCCTTAACCACATTAGGTCAATTCTGCAGGGCCCTTCTGGGCTACCCTTGCCTTAGGCCTGATGAGCACAGTTTCACCAGTTTTGTTAAGCCAGTTTCTTGGGGAGACTCTCACTACCCAATGAAAGTCTGTCTGACTCCTCTTCTCTGACTCTTGACACCTAACCAAGTTCCTCACGCAAATTTTCCATCTGCCCCTCATCACCCCCACTCCCACTCCCATTGATATAAATCCTGTCCTTATTGGGAGTTCAGGTCAAGCTTAACTGCATTGCAATAATCTGAGAAAAGTCTTCCTTGCCCTCCTTAACAGAGCCAATCAGGCAGTTAGGATCCAAGACTGGTCCAATCAGGTTTACAGGCTAGGGGACCCTGAAGAGGATATAAGCAAAGGAGGAGCAAGCGTGGGATTCACACAGCATCTGGACTCCAAAGAGACAAGGAGGATTCAATAGACCTCTGAATGGGATTCAGAGACCTCTGCAAACTCCAAGACCTCTACAGATCTGGAGACCTCTGTAGGCATCCAGACTCTGTAGACCTTTGCAGAGACCCAGCTACTGCATCTGCTTCTGGCCCTGCCTCTGACATCAAGGGGCACCGTTGCCCTCAGCCCAGTGTTTCAAAGAGGTCTTGGCTATTGTTCATATCAATAGCTCACTAAGAGCTATGACACTGGTATTTCTGACATTGCCTCCTGGTGACTGCTTAATGATCACAGCTGCTTAATGATCAAAGTTCCCTTTAAGGGCTTGAGGGGTTTTAAAGTAAGGAAGCATTTCTTAGTGTTCCCAAAGATGGGACACAGATCTTCAGAGGACTGGGTCCAACAGTAGGGAAATTTTGCCACGGCCACATTATTTTTTAAATTTTTAAATTATTCTTCATTTTGAAAAACAGAATTTTTGCATCAAGATTGGGGTTATTGATATTCCTCAAAGACCAGATGATCTCAGGCCCTGGGTGTGTCTGTTGCTCCCTGTTTTGCCACTTCTGTCCCTGTTGGCCACATCTGCAATGCTGATGCACCTCCATAACCAGACTGTGGCTGGAAGCACTTGAGTTTGCAACCCCTGATGAAGACTCTCCATGCAGCTTAAGGCCCTGAAGCGCAGAATGACTGTGAATTAGTAAACATCCACAGATCCTGAATAACAGCAGGGGTCAGATCAGGTTTCCTGAATCGTCCAATATATCTTGCTTCTTGACATTGTCCTACCTGACTCTACAAGAGAATAATCACAAGCAGGTGATTAGGATGTCTGTTGAGGAACCAAGGCAAACATTTCTGATTTTCAGACAATGAAAAGGGGAAAGGAGGATGTGCATAGATAAATGTGAATTGCATTTATTACACACCCATTGAGTGAGTTAGCCAAACGCCTCAGCCACACACCTTATTTTGTTTTTAAATGGAATTTAAATTATTTCTATGGGGTGGAAGAGAAAGGTTAAAGACAGGTAATTTCATTTTCTTGCCATGCATCCACTTTTCAAATATAATTTTCCATGTCTGTCTGCTCATGTCTCCCTCTAGATTCTCCTTTTTTGGGTACCAGGCCAGCTCCCGGGCAGGGAGGAGCCGGGAAAGGGGGTGCTGCTGATGGGGGACAGGCTGCCTCGAAAGGGACAGCTATTAAGAGAAGTCTGCATGGTTGGGAGGGTGGGGGGGAGGGGGTTAGGGGGTGGGGAGGGTGAGGGGGTCGGGTGGAACGGAGGGGGCCCCGAGGAGGGCTGCCGGCCTGTCTTCCTTCCAGAAAGTCACCTGAGGAGGCCCAGAGCAAGCGGCTTCACCTTGGCTGCGCGTGAACGAGCTCTGCTGGGGCTGGGGGTGGGGGTGGGGAGCACACACAGGACCCCGCTGCTGCGGGGCCAGACCCTGCCAGAGGCTGTGGCGGCTGTTGTGTTCTCCCGCTGGGAGCTGGGTGAGCACCGCAGGCCTGATCACTCGGGGTCCCCATGAGCCTCCGTCCCGTCGTGGCAGCGACATGTGCCTGCGAGTGCCTGAGCTGGAGCTTTACCGCCTCTGCTTAACTGACTGGGCGGCTGCTCACACGTCAGTCTGCGCGCGCGGGCGGCGGTAAACGCAGTCACCGCCCAGGCAGCGCCCCCCTGCGGCTCCCCGCGCCGCCACCATGGAGAACAAAAACCAAACGTCTTCGGGCTTCTAGAAAGAGGCCTGACCTTGGGCCCCCCCCACGGGGGCCTGTGCTGGAGGAAAGCATGGACTGGCAGCCCCCGGACCCTCCCGGGGGTGCCCCCCTGCTGTGCGGGGACAGCCTGCGCGGGCGCCTGCTGCAGCCCAGCCGTGAGGTGGCGCCAGCCTCGGCTCCTCGCTGTCATGGGGGTCTCGCGTCCCCCCCACCTCCGCCTCCCCCCCCCCCCGCGCCCCGGGCCTCGCGCAGGGGAGCCCCGAGCGGGCTTCTCCTGTCAGTCACCGCGTTACTCAGGCTTCGGGCCTTGAACGTTTCTTGCGAAGGAACAGAGTCACCCACCTGCTGGCAGAGACGGAGCCGCTGCCTCGCCCACGGCTGGCAGCAACCCGGCCCTGCGCTGGTTGCTGGTGATAAAATTAAGCTTCAAGGGCCACCCCGGGGGCGCAGCTGTTGAGCGCTGGGTTGCGAAGCTGCCCTCAGTCTCTGCTGCGCCGGTTCGATCCCCGGCTGCTCCCCAGCCACCGGAGGAGGGTCCCGCATGGCGCGCAGACCTCTCCTGCCACCCGCTGCTCCCCTCAGCAGTCAGTCCTTCTGCCTGCTCTGCTCCCCGCTCTGGCTCTGGTGAATTCTCTCACCCTCCCGCGCTTCTGACTGTCCCCAGTGCATGTATAAATAAATAAATCTTTAAAAAAAAATTAAGCGTCAAAAGAAAATTAGCCCTTTGCACTCCGCTGTGCCCTCTCAGGGGACATTGCAATTTATTAGTGATTACGGGGAATTGAGGTTATTTCAACGCAACGTTCTGAGACATGCATGTTTCCCTGAAGTTTTATCTTGAAATGGCACAAGAAATTAAATCAAAATATCGTAAAATGGTTCGGAGTGCAAAGGGTTAAAAATTTTGAAAACTCTTGGATTGGCCACTGCGCTGGACCTGCTCCTCGATGATGCGGGACCTCCCGAGGATGGCGGAGGGGCTCCCAGCAGGGCGGCGCGGGCTGCACACGGGGTGTCGGCGCTGCCGGTCTCCAGCCGCCCCGCCGGCCTCCCCGCGCAGGCCTGTCGGGCTCAGGGCGGGGCGGCGCCGTGGCAGGTGTTGGGGCGCGCGGTGTGAGCAGGGGCGCTTGCGCGGCGGGAGGGCGGTGTCACGTGAATGAATACTTGAAAAGTTCCTCTCCTCGTTGCCTGAGTTCTCACGGGGTTCCTCGCGGCCGGGACCCACAGGGGCGGGCGCTGTCTTTTTTGAGTTTACATCATTTTACTTTGTTTTTAAAAAGCAAACTGAGCCCCGCTTCAGAGTGTAACGGCTTTTCAGCCCCGCTCACGGCACCCCCTTCCCAAGCGCCACGGAGAGGGGGGCCGGCGGGGGCCTGGGGGGAGCAGACAGTCGGGGCGCGCCGGGACTCGCGGAGCGGGCGTGGGGTGGTTCTGAGTGGGCGCCTGGACGGGAGAGGGTGTGGGGGGGGGCGGGCGCCCAGGTTCCGCCCGCCCAGCTGAGGGCGCGGCCCGTCCACCCCCCAGCTCCTGGGGCGCTGGTGTCCCCCGGCAGTGCCAGGACCCTCCCCTGCCGCCTCGGGAGCACCTGGGGTTTGAGGTAAAGTTTCCCCCGGTCCCCGCACAAGTGGGTCACGCTGCCCCAGCTCCCACCGGGAGGGGAAGACAGGACCCGCACCCAGACTGGCCTGCGGGGTGTCCTTCCTCCCTCCTAGGGCTGCACTCTGACAGGAAGTGGGGGCGCAGCTGCGGGGGTAGCTTTGCATGAGCTGCCCGCAGCCGGGGTGGGGCATCCCCGGACCACTCTGCCAGGACGCTGGCCACCAGCTTGGGGGCCGCACGGAGGGGACCGAGGCAGGGGGCCCTGTGTGCACGGCGCCTGCAGTGCTGAGGCTGTCACCCGCCTTGTGCAGCCCCTCGGTAAGGGGGAGCTGGGGGCTGAGCTGACTTCTGGGCTTTCCTTCAGGTCCACGGAGACAGTGACCATGTCGTGGAATGAGCCTCCCCCTCCCTATCCTGGGGGCCCCACAGCCCCCCTTCTAGAGGAAAAAAGCGGAGCCCCATCCACCCCAGGTAGGCCTCGGTGTGAAGCGCCCTCCCTCCAGCCCTCCTGCTGCAGCTGGGCCCTGAGCCGCCTCTTCCTGCCTCTCTGTCCAGGCCGCTCCTCCCCAGCCGTGATGCAGCCCCCACCGGGCATGTCTCTGCCCCCTGCAGACATCGGCCCCCGGCCCTATGAGCCGCCGGGTCACCCAGTGCCCCAGCCTGGCTTCATCCCCCCACATGTGAATGCAGATGGCACCTACGTGCCTCCAGGTGAGTGGGGCAGGGCCCCGGGGTACGGGCTGATGGGGACGGGGCGGGAGGCCTGGGCAGATGTCTCCCTGCCAGGGGCCCGTCCCTGGGGAGCCTGGGCTACTGCTCACCCAGCAGCTCCCCGAGGGACGGCTCTGCCCAGAGAAGGGCTCACGCACAGCACAGGTGGCGCCCTGTGCATCAGCGACCGACACAGCCCAGCCCTGGCATGTCCGCGACAGAGGGAGGGATGGCGCCCGGCTCTCGCCACGCCCGGCTCTTGCCACACCCTCCAGGAGGGCAGGCGGGATGTGGACGGTCATCTAGGCCCAAGGCCCGGCTCCCACACCTCACCTGCAGCCTGGGGGTGGGGGCCATGGGGCTTCGTGCGCATCTTTCGTGGGGGGCGTTGGCCAGCCAGCGTGACCTGTCTGCTCTGTCTTTTGTGCTCCAGGTTTCTACCCTCCCCCAGGCCCCCACCCGCCCATGGGCTACTACCTGCCGGGGCCCTACCCGCCGGGGCCCTACCCAGGCCCTGGGGGCCACACGGCCACAGTCCTGGTCCCTTCAGGGGCTGCCACCACAGTGACAGTGCTGCAGGGAGAGATCTTCGAGGGTGCCCCCGTGCAGACCGTGTGCCCCCACTGCCAGCAGGCCATCACCGCCAAAATCTCCTATGAGATCGGCCTGATGAACTTCGTGCTGGGCTTCTTCTGCTGCTTCATGGGGTAGGTGGCGGGCGCCCCTGGGGCAGGGAGTGGGGGACTAGGCCTCCCACACCAAGCTGGAGTGGGCCTGGGTGCCCGGCCCCTTCAGGCCTGCCCACCTCTCCGTCTGCTTCAGGTGTGACCTGGGCTGCTGCTTGATCCCCTGCCTCATCAACGACTTCAAGGATGTGACGCACACGTGCCCCAGCTGCAAAACCTACATCTACACGTACAAGCGCCTGTGCTGACAGAGCTGGGACAGACTCCCGCTGTCCACCCGCCCCCCGTGCTTTGCTCCCCGCACTCAGTGGCGCCTCCCCACTCCCACTTGGGGGCAGAAGCTGTCCCACCAGCCCCCTGGACGTCTTGTCCTCTTCAACTCACCCTACCCTGAGCATCTGACTCTTTCGGCAAAAGATTCTGTTGGATGGAAGGCCAGGGGCGCGCAGGTGGCGGGACGGCGCCGAGCGCGTGTGGCTGCTGCGGGTGGCGTGGCCAGGAGGACAAGCTGGGAAGGGGCGCCTTGCACGGTGGCCTTCGTTTCCATACCAGGGGCAGGTTCGGTCCTGACTCCCTGGACCAAAAGCAGATGGAGCAGTAGTGGGTTCCCTCGGCCTGGGGCCTGTAGCCAGTCATTTCTGATCTGCTGGACCGAGGGCAGGGAATGGACCCAAGCAGGACAGGGCCACGCAGCCTAGGTGTGTTTGCAGGGCACTAGTGGTGGGTCAGAAGGCACGGCTTTGGTCCTCGGAACTCTCAGGAACTCCACACCTTATGCCCAGGAGCCACCTGAGATAAGGTAGAGAGGGCAGCATACCCACAGGTCACTGGGTAAGGGATCGGGCCGCGCTTGCCACAAAGGAACTTGCCTCTCCCCCCCGCCAGCGCCTGTTCCGGCCCACACCTCTGTGCACCCGTCCTCGCTGGGGCTGGAACTAATGCCCAGGAGCCTCGCCCTCTGCCACGCTAGGTTCCTGCTGCCCGGTGGCTGGCACATCCCAGCTGGGGCAGGCCGCAGGGAAGGCCGGCTCCCGGTGCCGTGGGCTCGCCTTGGTCCCCTCCCGCTCAGCAGCAGGAGCAGTTGTGGCCAGGGGACCGGAAGACGTAGCCCCGAGCCATGGCAGCCCCCTGGTGGACACCAGCCCTGCCCGGGCCTGAGCCCACTGTCTCCTGAGGGTCTGTCTTGTGAACCTGCCCACATGGCCCGCTGAATCCTGCTGCTGCCCCCTCCTGGTCTCGCACCGCCACTGCATGGCCTCCCTTCATTATGAATCGTGGCTGGTCTCCGTTTGTAGTTTCTCATTAAATTGGCCCTTTCACCCCCCTGCCTGGGCCTCCACTCACTTGCCTGGCTTCCTTCTTTGGGGGGGGGGGTCTGCAGGTAGTCCAAGAGCAGTGGGGTGCATCTTTAGGGTCTCGGTGCTCACGCAGTCCAGACTGCTCAGGGCCATGCTGACCTTTGAGAACCCAGTGAGAGCAAGTCAGCCCAGTGTGGACAACCCTAGCCGTGACCTGGGCACAGGCAGTCGGCTCCACAGTGCTGGGGAGTGTCCTCGAGCGACACCCCCCATGCCAGAGCGGCCGCACGCGGGATCTTCAAGCTGAAGCGCCCAGCGGGAGCCCAGGATCAGCCAGCCTGCAGGTGGGCACCCTTGCTCCCCTGAGAGAGGCAGAGCCACCCTCGCTCCCAAGGCTTCCGGTCTGAAGGTGACAGGGAAGGGGAACAGCAGCCTAGGCTCGCAGGTTCTGGGCTGGCTCGGCCCCCACCCCGGCAGCTGATCCACCGGGCAGATGCCAGGATCCGGGACAGCTAACAGAGCCCTATTAATAAAAACAACTTGGGTTCACATTTCTCTCTTAGACTTTGCAGTGTTATGCGAGTATGTGCTTTTTATCCTTACTGGGTGCAAAGCGGGAAAGCGCCAAAGCCCTTCCGAGAGTCAGGAAGCCACAGGGCAGATGAGCTGGGAGGGCAGGGCTGCGGCAAGGAGACCGTGGCCCGTGGGGCACGAGGAGGACGGGTGAGGCTGCCAGGGCAGCGTGAAGGGGACACCACGCCAGGAAGGAGGTGGGCGGCCGCCAGAGTCCTCTTTATTGAACGCCGTAGCGTTTACACGGGTCAGAACAGATCCTTGGGGGCTTCTGGCTGCCGGGCCGGCGTTCCCAGGGCCTCTGAAGCAAGGTGCACTGCCCCGCCCTCCCGCAGAGCCACAACAACCTGAGCTCGCAGGCTGCTCCGTGCCCGGGGAGGGGACGGACACGACACCACACGATTGCAGCAAGTGGGCCTGGGGGTGGAGGCGTGGGTGCTCCAGGAGCAGAGCCGGTGCCAGGGGTTCAGGCCAGCAGGCTGTCCCCAGTGCCACGGCTGGAGGCGGGGGTGCTGCAGAGAGGCCGGGCTTGCGCCCAGCTCAGCGTCTGCCCGCAGAGAGGACAGTGACAGGCAGAGACGTTAGCGTCTGGCTTTATTGGTTGCTGCTTGTGTCAGACCCCGCGTCTGAAAGTCCCACGCGGTGGCCCTCGGTCCAGCGGAGGTGGGGCGGGCCCGTGTGGGGCGGCGAGTCCGTCACATGTAGTACCAGGCCAGAAAGCCGGCGGCCAGGGCCACACTGGTGGCCAGAACAAACTGGAGACTGGACTTGCTCAGCATAGCCAGGGCCATTCCAAAGGGGCATCCGCTGCCCTCCAGGGCACCTGCATGGCAGCACCAACGGGACGCAGCCTCAGCGGGAGAGGCTGACGAGCCGGCCCCAGGCGGGAGCGTGGGACAGGCAAGACCTCCCTTTGTCTTGTTTAGCGGTGTAGTAGGGGCATTTGCACACATCTCCTTTCCCATCATGCACAGGGAGTCCATCCTCCACAGCCTCCTTGGCCAGCAAGGAGCCAGCCTGGTCCAGTTCATTGAAGATCTGCAGAGAGCACCAGCAGCCATCACTGGGCGGCCTGTCAGAGAAACACTGCCCCCACGCAGAGGGGCCGAAGCCACTGGCCCGGGAGCATGAGCCGCACGGTGGCAGCCCGGGCCCGGGAGCCGTGGCAATGCCGGCGCTGAGCCTTCCGTGCAGACCAGACAGAGCCCACAACACACCAGCAGGGCACTGACAGGAGATGGCAAAAGGCTGCCCCCAAGTCCCCCAAGGCACTTCCAGCCGGAGGGGAAGTGCTGCGAGGGAGGTGGGGCCGGCCCACTGAGGGCCCTCGGCTCTGCTGCCACGAGCCAAGCCCGCGGGGAGCCAGGGCTTCACTCCCTGCGGCCACGGGTGCCGGGGGCAGGCGGGTCCTCCAGGCTCGGTCCTTCCAGAGGCGGCTTGTAAAGGACTCACTCCCGTCCTCATCCCTGAACCGAGCGAGCAGGACGTCACGGGGCAACCCTTGCTAGCGACCCGATCCCGAGGACCAGAAGCCCGCGGCGAGCACGGGGTCCACTCTCCCCGCCCCCGTCCCATGCCGGAGGCGCTGCCCTTCCCCAAGCCCTCAGACGAGCTGTCGGGCAGGGCAGAGCCCTCCTGGCGCCCATCTGAGGCGCCCGCGCTCTCATAACCGCTCCCGGCCGCAGCCCCGCCTGTACCTGCATGTTGTGCTCAAAGGCCTTGTTGGCCTCCTCCACGATCTTCTCTCTGGTCTTCGCGCTCAGGTCCAGCGCGTTCATCCTGGCCCGGTAGAGCTGCTTGAACTGCTGGGCATTGTCTATGTTCTCAAACAGGTAGAACTGGGTCCCCTCCCCCGTGCTGGGGAGTTTCAGGGCCCGCTGGGCCACCTTCTTCAGCACCTGGCCCCCGGACAGGTCCCCCATGTAGCGGGTGTAGGCGTGGGCCACCAGCAGCTCCGGCGTGTTCTGCCCCACGTAGTGGATCCGCTCCACGTACTTGCGGGCAGCCTCGGAGCACTGCACGCGCGTCTCCCAGCCCTCGCCAAAGAAATACTCCATGTCCTTGACCAGCGCCTCCTTGCGGTGCAGCTCCAGGGGGAAGTACAAGGGGGCGAAGGCGGGGTGGTCTTTGTTGCGGCTCATTTCCTCCTCCAGGGCCGAGTAGGTGAAGTAAAGCGCGGCGGTGGCCAGCTGTCGGGGGCGGGGGAGGGGAGACGGCGACAGCTGTGGGCCTGCAGCACCGGGCTCAGGCCGCGCCGCCCTCCTACCCGCCGGCCCGTTTCTGCACAGGACGCGCGCGGCGAGACGAGGCGGGACGCGGGCGGCCGCTTCCCCACGTCACTGCTCTCCAGCCGGGAGACCCACGGCGTGATGTCGAGAAGGGGTTGCGGGGAGGCCCGACTTCTCCCCGGTGCAGCTCAAGAGAGACTTCTCCATGGGACTCGGCCCCGACCCGACCCTGCTCACGACCACGGGCACAAACCTTAAACAGCTCCCTCCTGATGTTGCCTTTCAAGAAGTGCTTCACAAACTGGGTGTTTTCTGTCCGGTCCTGTGCTTCCTTGGTCCCCTCCTTCGGGAGCTCCGAGAGGTCAGCCATCCTGCGGAGACATGGACGTGTGAGAGAGAGAATCAGCCTTCCTGGCTCCGGGTGACGCTGGCTGAGCTGGAGGCAGAGGCTGCCAGAAGCCAGGCCCTCGTGGGCACAGGTCGTCTGGGGGCGTGGGGAGGGCGGCCTAGTCTGCCTCAGGACGTGGGACACAGGCTGACCGGCCGACTCGCCACCCTGGCCGCGCGTCTCAACCACCCGAATGCCCGCCGCTTCACGCCCCGGCTGCCCGGCGTCTGAGGAGACGGACACCTCTAACCCCCACAACACCCACCGGCTGCCCCAGGGAAAGCCGGCCTAGGGACTCCGAGCAGTTGTTGAGGGACTGTGGGTCCCCAGGAGGGCCGCGCTGTCCCCTCCCACCTGGCCCCACAGCCCCTGGACCTGTGGGAGGCCCAGCAGGGGAGGGTGAGAATGAGACAGGGCCGGCCTGGTGGAGCCAGGGCCCGGGTCTGCGTGATGTGACGGCGTCCACGGGCCAGAGCGGGCCCAGGCCGAGACACCACCTGCAGGCAGACCCCGGGCTTTGGTGCTGTGTCCAGACCCACCCCTAAAGCCCCCCAGGTTTGCGGGCTTCTTCAGAAGGCCGGCTCCTGTCACCCTGGTGCTTAGGTTTACAATTAGCAATTATTTCAAGATATTACCAAAAAAAAAAGCTCTGCAATGGCAGGACTTCCACAAGAGACGGAGCGTGACAACGCAGAGGCCCTGGGAACCTGAGAAGCCGGCCCCTCCCCGCAAAGAAAAGCCCCTTGGGTCAACATACCAGGGGCAGGGACACGAGAAAAGGTGTCAGCTTTGGGGCCCCCCTGGTAGCGCAGCGGTTGAGCGCTGGGTTGCGAAGCTGCCCGCAGCCTCTGCAGCGCCGGTTCGATCTCCGGCTGCTCCCCGGCCACCGGAGGAGGGTCCCGCATGGCGCGCAGACCTCTCCTGCCGCCCGCTGCTCCCCTCAGCAGTGGACTTCGGTCCTTCTGCCTGTTCTGCTCCCCACTCTGGCTCTGGTGAATTCTCTCACCCTCCCATGCTTCTGACTGTACCCAGTGCTTGTATAAATAAATAAATAAATAAATCTTTAAAAAAAGAAAAAAAAAAAAGATGCAATCAGAAGAGAGCCCAAAAGAGAGCCATCTGCCTGTTCTCAATCCTTTTAAGGTCCACAAGTTGACTCCATTCTGCCCCTAGTTCTGAGCAGCCCCTGTCAGGGATCAGTGGTGGAGTTTGGAAAGTTCCACCTTTTACCATCTTGCTAGCGATGAGTGTCATCTACTGAGCCAGGAGTCCTTCTGTTATAAACAGGGTGAGGGGCACCCCGGGACCTCCAAACCTGCCTGCCTACTTTAAATAGGTTCCTCTATCCGCTGCATAAAGACAAACATACTCTTAGTGTGTGAGACCTTCAATTAAAAGACAAAACTTTAATATAATTAATGTGTGGTAGAGAGAAGAGAGGGAATGTGTAGTTAAAAATAGCCTCTCCATGAAACACCCAAAGTTACCCATCCCTTCCTGGATAAATGCCCAGACAAACAAGTTTGGCCCAAAGCAGTGCCACTGAGGCCTGAGAGCTTGCCACAAATCTAAGACACCTTCTGGTAAAGGGGCAGAAGGAGCCAGGCAAGTAGGAGAGGAAAGGAGCAAAATCAAAATCAAGATAAAGGCTGCCATGTGTCTTCACCCACATCTCTGTCTCTTTCAAGTGTCTCCATCCATGTCCCCCAGCTCTCTGGTACAAGTCCAAGGTTGAGAAGCAAGCACAGCTTCTTCACATGTTTCTCTGCATCATGTGCCTCCTCTAGGGCTTCTCCTTTCTCTTGATTCTTCTTCTCACTTTGCTTCTTCTCTAGCTTCTCCTCCCTGCTCAGCTCCACCCCTTCCTTGGGGTTGCAGGGAACCTGAATCTCCCCTTTCTGTGGAAACCACACTGTTACAAGTCCTCACTGTCCTTCTTCCAGGAGCAGGAAAGAGAGAATAGGAAAGGAGAGCTCTGGAAATGGGTTGGTGGATAGCAACAGTTAATTCTGAACTCAGCACAGGTTCTGCCCCTGCCGGCTTTCTTTGTTAGAGGAGCAGTGGGCAACAAACTGCAAGCTAGTGATGTCCCGAACAGACTCCACCCCCATCGCCATGCCCGACCAGACCTCAGGTGCAGAGGCTTGCCAGCCTGCAATGAACCTGTCTTCCTGACTGGGGAGCTCTGGAAACGAGGGGCAGAATTGAATGGTCACATTGGCCTTAAAAGACAGAGCAAGCGCATGTTCTTGCCTTTCTGGCTTTGGCTCACATCATGGTCTCAGCTCAGACTGCATTTTTGGAAGAATGCGTTGCCTAATTAATCCGCCTAACCTCCCCTTGTAAATAACCCTTTCCGACCCCCATTTCTCTGTGTGTCTGCTGATGAGTCTTGTCCTGAGTTCTTAAGCACATGGATGAGGACTCTGAGGTGAAGCCTCTTGGGTTTCCCTGTAACAGCTTGACACTTTATCTTGATTGTCTAGCAACTTGGGGAGTCCCTGCACCAGTTATCAACAGCCTGCATCCCTACAGAGTTCACTGTGGTGACATCACAGCCCATGAAGACCAAGTAGAATAAGGCTGCTTTTTTACTCAATAGCATCTGATAAAGAAACTGAAGCCTGGAGAGGCTGGACTCACTGGAAGTTACCATAGTGGTGCAAAAAATAAGAACATGTCAGAAAGGTCTGCTAGCATGTGGTGGAAAGCTGTGTAAGGGAACAAAACTCTGTTACCATAAAAATGTCCTTGGAAAGAGGCTTATTTCATGGGAGGGTCTCTGAAGATTGAGTGAGATTTCTTTTTATATTTATTTGTAAATTTCTCTCTGTAAGACTCTCTCCTAGGAAGACCTAAAAACACCCACAATCTAGTCTGTTTGCCATGTTCAACCTCACCACCACCCAATTTCACAAGAAAGACCACACTTAATCAGTGTAGAAAACAGCACTTGCACTCGTGTTACACTGGAGCTTCCTCACAGAGGGACACCAGGTGACTGCAGGTCTCCAGCATCACATACCGGTACAGGGTCCTCTGAGCATCATTCAGGTCTTCCCATTCCTGCCAGGGGAAGTTCACAGCCACGTCCTTCAATGACACCATCTCCTGTGAGGGAACATTTCTCCTCATTTCAGGGCTGTCAGCCTGGGTCACACAGCAACAGTGTAAACACTCCTTCTTGTGCTCTTGTACAGGAGGCACCATTTTCCTACTCTACACTGTTTTGTGAACAGAATTCTCAGGGGAAATAGTCTTACCTCTAGATTAACCCATTTGCTCCTAAAAGAACTACAATAGTTTACCATACAAATTTGGAAGTGTCTTTGAGTCTATGAATACAAGGATGAATAAAATCTTCTCCTTGAAGAGCTTATCACCTGGTTGGCAGGTAGAATAACACAGACGTGGAATAACGTGCTACGTAGCGGTGTGAAAAGCCTGCTGAATGCAGACACGGTACAAAAGAAGAAAAACCAACACTTTGTAGTGTTGGGTTACACGTCACTGAAGACCCAAACGCTTAGCTCTTCCTTGTAAATCACACTGTCATGAGGATGAGACAACAGCAGATGTCATAGAGTGAGAAAATAAAAAACACTCGCCATGATAACTGACCTGCAGAGAGCACGCTGCCAGGCAGAGTCCCCAGCAGGAAGGCAGTAGAGTCAGTGAAAGTATTCTGGAACTGAAGTCAGTCAGCTTTTATGAACTGTGGGACATGTGAGCTGAATTCACCAGAATAGAAGGATATGTGAGGTCTCCCTGGTGGTGCAAGGAGTGAAGCAACTCAGATCTGCCTTTTCTGCTTCCCACTCTGTCTCTGATGAGTCCTCTCACCCCCACACCTCTGGCCTGTACCCACCTCTTATATTCATACATAAACAAAAACGAATCTTTTAAATAAATCAAGCTTGAAGGGGAGTTAGGTATTTGGGGGAAATATACTCACTGGGCAGCAGGCTGAGCCACACAGCAGGACTGGAGCAGACAGGCCCAGCACAGGAAGGTGAGGGGCCAACGGCCTCCCCTCGTCATGGAGGATGAAAAAGACAGGGGGAGTTGATAGGTAGATTTCCATCTGGTAATTACCAAGAGGCTGAGCTGCCCCAGCACGTGCATTAATCGGATGCAGGGGTGTGAGCCTGTGTGGACCCTGGGGAGGACACTCGCGGCTCTACCGGCACTTCTGTTACAGGAGGATTACATTTACTGGGCGCTCCTGGGAGTCAGACGGAGGGGCTCCGACAGGCGGGTGGAGGTTGACCTTTTGTGAGACTCATTTCCACGAATAAGAGAACATCCCCGTGAGGAGGCGTCCAGGTTCTCACGTTGGAAGGATTTGTCCAAATCTCTCCATCCCTTATCAGAGGGAGAGGCGGCCCCTTAGGACCGCACCACTCGCACCCTTGTAGCTGGGCTTCCCACTGCCCCCCAGGGCTGACCCCCATCCTCTGTCCTTTCTCTGGGGTTGAAGATGTCATTGCACAGGGGGCAGAGACCATGTTGGTGGGTCACTCAGTGTTCCTGGGTCTTCCCCAGGTGAGCGAGGAGGTGTCCACGTGTACTCAAGTGTATTTTCTCCCACTGATGCCCTTTATTCCAGGAAGGTCTCCATGGAGAACCACAGGGTAGATGAGATGACGTTTCCTCCCAGGATCCCGGCGCAGACCCAGAGGAGTATACAGAAGGGGAGACAGGAGGTGCTTCAGGACAAACCCGAAGGGAAGGGTTGACCCAGGTGGGGAGTCCTCAGCACGTGCTGGGGAATCCAGGGCGAGGCCCCCCAATGAGCAGAGAGAAAAGGGACCTTAAAGGCATTACCCCAGGAGCGAGAGGAGGGAAAGCCGAGGGAGACAAGGAAAGGGAAGACGCGCTGCAGCAGCAGGTGGCAGTGTTGGGGCAGACCCAGAGGCACCCTGAGACCCCAGACCCTGCGCACCCTCCACTGGCACTGCCATCTGTTGCGTGCGGAGCAAACACCCCCTCACGTGAAAGCCCTGCTGTGGAAAACAACAGGGTTGGGGTGCAAGGGAGAGGAGAAAGGACAGGGTTAAACAGTTTCCAAGGAACCAAAGCCTCCCGGGCCTGCAGGGTCAGTCTTATGACTCCCACAGTGATGACCCCAGCTTTGGGCACTGCCTGCGGCGTCCTCTCTGCAAGTCCCCCCTCCAGGGGCTGTGGGGGAAGCGGACACACCTGACCTGCCCTCAGGCTCCTGAATTTTCGGGGACTTGCTGTCGGGGTCTCCGCCATCTCGCATGTCTGTCCTGGAACGCACCTGCCCCAACAAGGGGCCTGAGCCACGAGGGGTCTCTGTCCCCCCCCCGGCCTCTTTCATTCCTGCCCATGCTGCAGTGATCCCCAGACCCACTGTGGGGACATCCCTGGGGCAAACACCTGCCCAAGAGGGCGGCTTCTGCACGGGAGTCTCCAGCTGGCCAGGGATGTCCACGGGAAAGCGGAAGGGGAGACCCCAGCCGGTGGCACCTCCGTGCACCCCTCCACGTGCAAGGGAGCAGAATAGCCCCCCCACATGCCGCTGTGGCCCTAGATTCAGTGCAGGACAGGCCCTTGAGAAAAAGCTGGGTCAAGAACACCGACTCCCACACCCCTGAAAGCAGGAGCTGAATCTCCCCTGCCCGGGGCTGCCCCAGGGAGAGGGGAGCTCACAGGGGTCTGCAGGTCAGTCTCCCCTGCCCGGAGCTGGCGCCCCCGACCTTCCCTGGTTGCTGTCCCCCCAGAGCCTGCCCTGCCCCAAGGGTGGCGCCCACTGTGGTCCAAGGACCCACCCGGAGTCTGCTCGTCTCTCCCTGGAGAAGAGATGTGTGTGGGGACAGGACACCTGACGCCCCCCACTATTCGAAATTCCTTCCTGGTTTGTGCACATCACAGGGTTGGGTGGAGGCTCATCTGCACTTACCCATCAATTTCTCTCCCACAGGATTTTCTTCTAACGCCGCTGGGAGCAGCACTTGGAGCCATCTTCTGGCCAAGACAGAGAGAAGCTGTTTAAACAATGAGAGCGAAGGATTGACATTTTTCCAGTTAGCAGAAGTTACCGAACAGCTCTGAAGACCCATTGCTCCTCCCCACTGAACGAAGGTTTGCCCCGGTTGCCTGGCTGCTGCATGCAAGGTGGGTGAACTGCAGCGTGCCCTCAGCGAAGCGTCACCAGGCAGTGGGGCTCAAAGGGCAGACTGAATTTTCAGGGCACCCCTTCCTGCCCCCAGGGCTCTGATGGAAACTGTTTTTGAGCCACAGATCTTGGAAACAGCGAGAAGGATGGGACCAAGGCCAACGTCGGAAAACGTCTTTAAAAATCTTTTTATGGGGCCTCCCTGGTGGCGCAGGCGGTTGAGGGCCGCACCATGAAGTAATCTGCAGCCTCTGCAGCACGGGTTCAATCCCCGCAAGTCAGGGAGAAACCCACATGGTGCAGCAGACCTGTCCTGTCTCATCCGCTGCTCCCCTCAGCAGTGTATTTCAGTCAATCTGCTGTTCTGTTCCCCACTCTCTCTGGTGGATCCGCTCACCCCCTGCATCTCTGGCCTGTACCTCAGCTCTTGTATGCATAAATAAATATTTAAAAAATCATTTTATGGCGCCTCCCTGGTGGGGCAAGGGGTTGGGACGCAGGCTATGGGGCTGTCCACGGCCACTGCAGCGCAGGTTGGATCCCCGGCCAGGGAGATACCCAGGTGTGCAGCAGACCTCTCCTGTCTCCCCGATGCTCCCCTCAGCAGTGTATTTCAGTCAATCTGCCTGTTCTGCTCCCCGCTCTGTCTCCGGTGAATCCTCTCACCCTCCCAAGCATCTGGCCTGTACCCCAGTTCTTGTATAAAAGTAAATAAATCTTTAAAGAATAAACAAATAGATAAATGAATAAATAAAAAGGTGGACTGCGGTCCTCACTCTAACTTGACTTTAAATCTCACCCAACTTTCCTGAGAGTCTGACTAGCCTCCCAGTGATCATGCTCACAACACTGTCCCTAACTAAACTAAGAAACTAGTAGTTTTCACTGGCCTTGCGACTCTGCACACACAGCAAGCCAACCCTCCTGCAGAGTTCCTGGCAATGTGCCTTACTCCAGCATTTCAGGGCTCCCCGGGTGGGTGTTGCCCTAACTAGGGACACATGGGATTTAGAACAGCTCCTCTGCTAGGAACAAATATACCACCAACATTCTTTTTAGTCTAACAGCACTCTAAAAATGGGTCCCTTCCCTGGTGAAATGTACTCTCATGTCACAACCCCAAAACTTGCTAGCTATTTTACTACTGCTCCTCTTGTTACTAAGCCTACCACTCAGCGGCTGTCCCCAATGACTTTGCTACAGGGCAGGGAGAGGGGCAGCCCAGACCCCGCAAACCTGCCTGCTCTAAACAGGCTCTGCCATCCTGCTTCCTTCCCTCCTCACTCTCCTCTGCAGCTTCTTCTCTCCCTGCTCAGCTCCACTCTCCCTTGGGTGGGGCAGGGAACCTGGAACCTCCCCCTTTCCTGGGGACCCCCGTTACAACTTCACCTGTGACCGAGGGCCCTTAGCCGCTGCTGTACTTCTCATTCTCCTCTTTAAATCTTAACATACACAATCTCCTACTCAAATTTGTTTCTTCTAACCTAGGGGGAGCGCCTCAAGTTTAAACTCCTCTTCCCAACAAACAGCTCACCCTTACAAGAGGAACAGCCTGTCCAGATGCCCCACCCTTGCACTCCAGATGCCCCCCCTCACCTCCTTCCAGAACCACCAACAGACAGCTCAGGGACTCGTGTCCGGGAGACCATCTCCCGGGCCCTTGGAGGTAGGGCCAGCTCTACATGCCACTCCAGCTGGAAGCAGCTACGGAAAATGGACCTCCTCCCTTCAACTCCCCAAAAGATTTTGGGCTGGATATGGTCATGGGGGGATGATGGAGGACAAGAATGGAAAGACTGGAAAGGACGTGCCCCAAGGCCAAAACCTGACTCACACAAGGAGGTGGGGATCCAGGAAATGCCTACGACCCTTAACCCAGCTGTGGAGGACGGACCCTCAGGCGCCAGCGCCTTGTCACGAGGCAGGAGAGGTGAGCAGGATCCGATGCTCTAGGGAGTGGGGCACAGGCCTGAGAGGAAGGATGTGGAGACAGGGCCTACCCCGGAATCCCTGGTCCCTTTCTAGTGCTGCCTGTTGCCCAACATCCGCAACAAGCAGCCGCTCCACAGAGGAGTGAGCCTCCCAAGGAGAAAGGGACTGTGGCAGGGCAGGCTCCGCACAGGCCCGGGGCAACCATCCCCCTGCCCGCCCGTGACCACACAGGAGCCTCTTCTCACCAGCTCTTGCCTCTGTGGGGCAGCAGCCTCCTGCTGGTGGCCTGTACCTGCCAGGACGTCTCCACTGATCTCCCTCAGCAGAGGCCGCTCTCCACAAGGCCGCCCGCCTACAACCGTGCAGGCCTCTCTCAGCAAACCTGTCCCCTTCCCTTTTACTGAGAAACCAGCCCTTTAAACACAACTAACATCTCCGTCTCATGGAGAAGCGACCTGGGAAACTCTCGGGTGCTGCTGAAACAGGGTCTGGGGAAACATTTCCCAGAGTGAACCCCAGGACCTCGCACTCCAAAAACCCCATCACCCCCACTCTATTCCCCCGAGACCCACGGAAAAAACCCGCAGTTCTGGAAGGACACTAGGAAAGGTCTCTGGCGCCACCTAGTGCCCAGAACAAAATCACCACCTTCCTGATAGTGGGAAGCCAGGGATCCCAAAACCACCCTCAGGCGCTGAGAGGGGCTGGGCCAAGCCAATGGGGTAAGAAGAGAATCCAGGCCAGTCAACTGTAAAAGCAAAACCAATCATGAGAGCTGAAAATACATGTGGTTCTGCTGGCAGGACAATCACAGACATTGCTACTACAACTGTAATTTGATGCCACCATTAAATAAAATGCCAAATTTCAGTTAGAATTAGGGAAAATCAAGATGCATTTTACCTCTTCCCTGATTCCATACTCCCGTCTAATTGAAGGATAAAGGGCTGAGTTCAGTGAACAGGGAGTGTTCAAGGTGGGGAATCTGAACAGGTTGGAGACCAATTCCAGCTAGATGTCGTGTCAGGGATCTCAGCAGGAGAGGACCGCCTTGATGAAATTTTTCGGAGGGCTGAGGGGAAGTGGAGCCAGGTAGGAGTGAGGAAGACACAGACACCGTCTCTCGTGCAAGTATCTCCTCCTGAGGGTCTCAGCAGGTCTTTTTTTATACCTTAAGGCCAGTGGTGAGATGATATCAGTATAAGCATCAAAGCAGAACAGAGACAATCATTACATATTTTCTCATGAACATAAAAAGACCCTCTTGATCTCATACTACAAAAGGACACTTCCTTAATCTGATTAAGAAAATCTACAGGGACAATGACTCCCTTAAGTACAACTCTTTTTCTAATGTAATCCATTGTCTAACACAGTACAATGTTCAGTAACAGTCCATCACCCTGTCAAGCCTTCCTAATTTCCCAGTGGACATGAAAGTCCATTGTTATGCTATATTACTAAAATCAACCCATTCCCTAGTACTCAATTCCTCTAGCCCATTATCAATTACTTCAAAGTGATCTAAAGTAACTTATCAATACTGTTTAGTTCTACAGAAATCTAACTTTCAACTAGAAATACCGAACCTTCACACAACCTGCACACTGTTAACTTTTCGCATACACCAGGAGATGTACTGTTGCCGCAAACAGGTACCCCCCGGGTTAGGCTATGGTTTCCAAGCACAGCTGGTTCAGGGCAGCTTGTTCTCCATAGTTCTCGGGGCCAAAACATTTCTTTCCTAACTATATCTTTAACAATTTTTACTTCCTTTGTGACTGTTCATGCGAAAGAACAATAAGCCAATTGTCACCTGGGTCCGAATTAGGTTTTCACAGGCCAATGAATAACTAACTTACTTCAGCATTAACTAGGAACAAAGAGGAGAACTTTAGCAGGCTTTGCCATGGAGACTCCCTAGTTCAGATC